GAAACCCTGAATCTTTTCCGAGACAATGGCTATCTCACATTTTTCAATTTCGAACAGTCATCTATGGCATTTGTCGTTCGAAATTTGAAAATACGTTGTTTAGGAGACAATTTTTGTTATTTTTCAAAATTTTCAAATTTGACCTACATTTTTGGGTACTTGAAGGCGATCCGATTCCAGTAATATAACTTTCATTCAGAGTTATCACCCTTTATTTTTCGATTTTTTTCGAATTTTCTGCCCATTTTGTGAGCCTGAGTTTCGTTTTACGTCCGAATCGACGTTTCTGAAACTTCTGGAACATGAAGTTATAGTCCAAATCCAACTGATAAAGCTATTTCGACAAGGATCCTTAAACCGGAAGTGGCCGAAAAATTGTCTGATATTTTGAAGAAAACGCAAAAAATGGGTGCTTTTGGGAAAGACGTGATTTCTCCACTCAGTATCAACGGATTAAAGAAATTAAGGTATCGGTGGGTAGCCCAGGGATTTGACCATCATATGATACCAATTTCACACGAATCCTATGAGAGGGCAGCAAAATATGACATGTTGAAAATCAAATATTTTCTGATTTGGAGCGTTTTTGGACGCCTATATCTCGAAAACTACTCCAAGGATTTTTTTTCAAACTTTCCCTATCGAGAGTCCCTCTGGTATTATTGTGCATGAATCCATCCAATAAGACATTGAAATTTCTGGAATAGGTAAAATAACGTACTGAAAATCGAAAAAAGTTGAAAAATCGTGAAATTTTGGAAAATGCTCTATTATTTCTTTATTTTAACAGATTTTCAAAAAAAAAGGTAATACATTCAGATAGCTGTCCTAATTACGACTCTAACCAGGTATAATATGTATTGAGTTTAATCTTTAAGTGGCATTTAGTGATTGGGGTACACAATAACAGAACACAATTTTTATGGGAAACAATCACTGGTTTTATTCTAATAGCACGACGTTTCGACAAGTATCCTCTTATCGTTATCAAGCACATTCTGTTAATGTATTGAGTTATTGAAATTTAATTTTCGATATTTTGACATTTTGATATTTTTGACACTTTTGAAAATAGGATTTCTCAGGGCCATTTTATCTGATCTCTATTTTTCTTTGTTGGGAAACAGCTGAATGGATTTTTCTGAAACTTCTTGTACAGAAGGTTTGGTAACCAAACAACTTGTTAAAACTATCCCGACAATGATCCAAAAACCGGAAGTAGTCGAAAAAATATCCGATAATTTGAGAAAAAAAAAACTATAAAGCAAAAAAATGGTGATCTTGCAAAAAAAGTGATTACTACGTAAGATTTCATCGAATCAAAACAACTAATTGTCATTGGATGGCCCGAACAATGGACGATCGTATGACATCTAAATGGTAAAAATTCGCTGGTTAGGCAATATATAATGGGACGCTGAAAATCTAGTATTTTCATTTTGGGGGGCTATTCAGATGCTTTCATCCCGTAAACTTGTCTTATTTCCTTTCTTAAACTTCTGTTACTTAGAGTCCTAACGGTGGTCTAGGGTGTGAATCCAGATTTAAAAGCCTCAATATAGTATAAATGGTCCAAAAAGGGCCACAATCTTTGAAAAAAGTCGAAAAATCGTTATATCTTCTCATGGTATAAGGGAGATAACACACTGGTATCAGACTAGCATTTATTTGCTAAATATCGTTAAATATCTTCTTATTTTCCTTTCTTTTAAAAACTGTCCAATGGATCTTTCTGAAACTTCTGGTACATGAAGTTAAGTTCCCATACAACAGGCTCTAAAATGGAAAATTCTAGATTTTCAGCGTCCCATAAAATAGCATTTTCAATAATTTCATTTCAGCGTGTTGAACCAACTATGTCACTTCCGGTTTTAATAAAAATTAATTTCTCGCTTACAAAAACTTTTTTGTTTGTGTTACAGAGGGGATTAATTATCAATATAAATTCAAGATTTATGGAAACCTTGTTAAAAATCGTTGGTCTTCCCCTTTAATGTTTACAAGATTATTAAGATTCACACACCTAGCTGATTTATAGCCAAGTTTCCTTCTGTTTTTTACCCTAACCTTAATAGTTTGTTCACTAGATTGAGTCCAGTGGTGATAACTTGATTGAGTGAAAGAAAGTTCAGGAAACAGATTATAAACCTCTTGTGTAATCCTACAAGTGAACAGCAACTCACCACTTATCGAAATCAACTCATCTCTGCTGTAGGTGATCATGATGAAACTCACTATACAAACGTTTTGTGTTTAATTTTATCAAACCTATTAATATTTTCCAAAGTTACTCCAAATATAGTAATTCACAATATCATTATCATGTCTGATGTAAAAAATTGTAATCCAAAATTAACTCTAAAAGACTAAAATTGCCAGAAACTTGGAGAGAAAGACACAATGCAACCACTAGGCAGCCATCTTATATATGTTTGAGATGGGTAAGCATCAGGGTCCTTTATTCATTTTGAAACGAACTGGCTAGAATTTGGTCAATTGAGGTCCCGTAGGATATGGGTTAATTATAAGCTCCATTTCCTTTAATATAACTAGACTTCAACAAAAAAATTCTTGGTAATTTGTTGTGGAGAATGTCATATTTTAATGTATGTGATTGCCACAAAAATAACGACAGGTACACCCTTTTGAAAATTTTCCATATTTAATTCACGTACCGTCTTGAAGTTCACGTCCGTAATATTTCAGAATAAATTAATCATTGTCTTCGTTTATTCGATGAAACGTTCGCGCTTCGTAAGTCGATGATCTAAAATATTAGCATTTTTCAACTATTGCCAGTATCAGAAAATGCTGTAGTCAAAATAAGCTGATAGGGCACCATGACATTTCTAGTCTTTGTCGATCAGGTAACTAGTCACGTAACTTGGCAAAAGTTTTTATTCATTCGTCAATTGATAGACACACTGCACAATTGTCACTTGACAACCATACTTGAAATTGCTTTAAAATAAAAATTCTGTACGTTTATGATATAGCCTTCAATAAAACAATATTTCAAAAATTAAGACTTTGTCAGAATGTGTATAAAAAACAATAAAAATCATAATCATAAAAATCTAATTTACAAGTGTTTAATTTCTCAATCATTGTTAAAAAATAAACAACCCAATTGATTAATGATGCATAATGATTAATTTTTGAACAGTGATCAGGAAATTAAATACTTGTAAATTGGACACTCATTATCAAAATTAATCAGTCAGCTTTAAACTGGACACATGTACAAATTAGATGATTTTTGGTGATTTTAAACGATTTTTACGAATTTTTAAACAAAGGTTTGATATTAAACGAATGTGAAAGAAATTAGTGCTAGATACACAAGATTAAACGATACCTGGGTTTACAGTGCCTACTGCCATGTATTTGGATTTCAATGGCGTCAGCCAGGCAGTTTGGCGGAGCGGGGCGTATTTTTAACGGCATGTTGTGAACATACCGCCGATCTGACTTAAGCGAAGGAAAAAAGCCGGAATTAGATCAAATGAACTGAACATTTTGATCCGAGTTGGGTGAAGATCTGACTTAGAAAATCCGTCTTACGCGCACAAATTCAATAAGAAAATCGTGCAGGATCAAAGGGTCCAAACGATTTTATCCGAGTTGAGCAAAGATCTGACTTATACAAATCCGACTTATACGAGGTTTACTCTATATCTAAATGGCTTTTAAAATCGGAAAAAAAAGTGTGACCTCTAGAGATCAACAAGCTAAAAGTAAAATGAGACTTTTCAACCATTCAGGGGCCATAATCCAGGAAGTTATGTTTGGATAAGTGTGATTATCAAAATGAAGATCTTCATGATAAAAACATATATTTAAAGTTTCATCAAATTGAATAAAAACTGTGACCTCTAGAGGGTCCACAACCTTGATATACCATATTTTTACAATGTTTGCGTACAAGGGGCGGCTATTAGTCCGTCAGTTTTGGTCTGATTTTCACAAAATTCGAACTCAACCATCAATAGTGTATAACTGTGATGTATCCACACGTGTTTTTTTTTTAAATCGGATAAAAATTGTGAATTCTAGAGGGACCACAAGCTGAAAGCGTGATTTTTCGTACAATCAGGGGCCATAATTCAGTAAGTTACCATCCGATATGCGTAAATATCGAAAGGAACCAAGATCTCTGGGATATAAACATTGCATTCCAAGTTTAATCAGAATCGGATGAAAAACTGTGACCTCTAGCTGGTCAACCACCTTGATACACCATATGTTACACTATTTGTGTATAAGGGGCGGCCATTTTGTCCGGCAGTTTTGGTCGAACTCGACCATCATTAGGGTGTAGCGGTGATATACTAAAATGTTTTTTAAAATTGGATAAAAATTGTGACCTCTAGAGGAACCACAAGCTAAACACACCTTTTTTCCTAAAATCAGGGGCCATAATTCAGGAAGTTACGATCCGATATGTGCGAATATCGAAAGGAAACAAGATATTTGGGTTATAAACATGCATTTCAAGTTTCATCTAAATCAGATCAAAATTGTGTCCGTCAGTTTTGGTCCGAGTTTCACGATAAACCTATATTTCAAGTTTCATTGAAATCGGATAAAAATTGTGAGCTCTAGAGTGTTCACAAACAATTGTGGACGGACAGACGGACGGACAGGGGCGACAGTAATATACGTCCACATAAAAATGTGGGTGTATAAAAATATTAACCCAACGAAATGTTGGATAAAATGATGTTTTTTGGATATTGTATCTCATTTATTATTGTATATCAACTTATCTTAATATCAAATGCATCATTTTGACTTGGTCAAAATTGATCACATCAAACTGTCTGTAATTGGTTTGTGTTACATGTTTCTATTTATTGGAAGTTTCTCACACTTAAAAATGGGAGTATAAAAATCCCAGAAATGGTTTAGTTTGTAGTATATTCACAAGAAAAGTTTGTCAGACCGACAGATGACGGGCGGATGGAAGCAGTTGCAAAAATAATGTGAATAATACCTACCGAAAGCTACGAAACACAGACCAAACATTTCTTTCCAACTTTTATAGAGATCAGTAAGAACCTTTTGAAATATATCACTCTGGTTTAGAAAGTCTATTATATTAGAAGATATCTTTTTGTGTAGCTTGAATAAGTCACTTGGAACACATCGATTTAATAAAGGTACACTGCAAAAAATATTAATAATACAAGCCAAATGTGGGGCTGATATTTGGATGAATGGATCATGTCCCCCACTTCAATTCCAAAAGAAATAGATGACACAATTGCACCCTTATCTATTTTATAAAGCATCTAGCAATCGAATTGTTTGTCACTCTGCATAACCTAAGCTCAAACTATACACAAAGTTTTGTAATACCATGAGTCTTTCTGTCTGACGTGGAGAGCGGACACAGTACTAAAACCATTTCTCTACCCTAGCCAGCCTCGCGGCTGTCTAGGATCTCAGATGTAAGCCCTCTGGAACCTAATAGAAGTCTAACGAATTCTCACAAGTATGATAGTTTTGTAGCTGTGGGTTTTGGACGTTCAATTATCTAATTGGTCAAATATCATGTAAATAAGTATAGAGATTGGTCAAACAAGCTAAATGATGCAATCGTAATTTTCCGTCACATGTTTCTCGACACAATCTATCCTTGAACTCAGACCCTCTTTCCTGTTATTCTCACACTATTTCATAAACAGTTAATTTACGTTTTAAATAAACTCATACCTTAATATACTGACAATAGAGAATAATTTGTAAAGATAAAAAATGTTGTTTAACCCATCTTATTTCTCTATTCCTTGTCTATAAGTTTAAAAACAATGTCGCAACGATGATAGTGCTACAGTTTACCCCCCCCCCCCCAACTAGTAAAGAACTAGAGTTATTGTGTTCTATACCAATCAAATTGCTCATCTCTTCTTAGTTTAAACAGAAAACGCTCATCATCGAACTCAATCAAGATATACACCCAACAATCTAGCTCAAATGCAAGAAGAGGTTACATTGTTCTATTTGCAATCAACGCAAAAGTATACAAAAAGAATGGGAACCCTTCTGGACTATATCTTGAAGCATGAATCCATTTGAATTCATTGGGTCTCCTTATTTTGTGGCATCATTTTTATCACTAATAGGATCAGTTTTGAAAAACTCAATTATTTTTTATCATAACATAAGAAAAGATAGGTTGCCAGGCAACGAAACATACGCCTACAGCAACTAAATCTTTCGGGCAGTCAACAAGGGTTGTCGCATATTTTTACATTTTTCGGTAATGAAACATTTATAATACACTAAAATCTGATTAAGAGCAACAACTCACGAAGTAATTATCAGAAAACTATTAGAATTTGTTTGGTTTTTATAAAGTTCTGCCCCATGCTAACGTTTTGTATGCAAAGCTTTTAATATCATGGATTTAACTGTTCAAGTCATAAAAATTCATTGAAAATCAATATACTTGTTCGTCTCAAGATCTTACACTCTGTGTATCAATCTGAAGTCAATCGGGTGATAACTTAAGGGCCATAACTTTGGCAGTAATTATCGGAAATCGTTGAAAATCAATAGGAATCTTCGCCTCATGACCTCAAACACTGTGTATAAATTTAAAGTCGATCGAATATTAACTTTCGCTTCTAGAGCATCCACAAGATTTTTCAGAGTGATCAAGGGCCATAACTCTGGCAGTAATTATCAGAAATCGCTGAAAACCAATAGGCTTCATCATCTTATGACCTTAAACACTGTATATAAATTTAATGTCAATCGGATGTTAACTTTAGCCTCTAGAGCATCCACAAGATTTTTTGAAGTGATCAAGGGCCATAACTCTGGCAGTAATTTTTGGAAATCGTTGAAAATCAATAGGTTTCTTCGTCTCATGAACTTAAACATTGCGTATAAATTTAAAGTCAATCGGATATTAACTTTGGCCATTAGAGCATCCACAAGATTTTTTGAAGTGATCAAGGGCCATAACTCTGGCAGTAATTATCGGAAATCGCTGAAAATCAATAGGCTTCTTCGTCTCATGACTTTAAACACTGTGTATAAATTTAAAGTCAATTGGATATTAACTTTGGCCTTTAGAGCATCCACAAGATTTTTTGAAGTGATCAAGGGCCATAACTCTGGCAGTAATTATCGGAAATCGTTGAAAATCAATAGGCTTCTTTGTCTCATGACCTCAAACACTGTATAAATTTTACGGTCAATTGGATATTAACTTTGGCCTCTAGAGCGTCCACAAGATTTTTCAAAGTGATCAAGGGCCATTACTCTGGCAGTAATTATCGGAAATCGCTGAAAATCAATAGGCTTCTTCGTCTCAAGACCTTAAACACTGTGTATAAATTTAAAGTCAATCAGATATTAACTTTAGCCTCTAGAGCGTCCACAAGCAATTGTGGACGCCGGACCGACGGACGGGGGCGACAACAATATACAACCACATTTCATGTGGGCGTTTAAAAACAAAATAGCATTTCCGATTGTTGAACATCAATAGGCTTCTTTTAATTGAATACCGAGAATTTGTATTGAATTGATTTTTAGATTTGTCTGGAGCTACTCTGCTTTGTGTGATAGTTTTCGTTCATCGATTATTATTTGTGAATGCAGCTGCAACAATCTGATAGTTTGATTGGAATTCAGGTTGGCATAGTGTAGGATTTGCACCGGCAGTAAAATTTATCCCATGACGTTCCGTAGCTGTATGTGAAGTTTGTGACAAGTGGAGACAATAATTTATTTGTCAATTGAAAGAACTGCTCAAACTTCACCTTTAGTTTTATAATTCTACATCCAATCTAAGCAACCAATATCATTCATGAAGCTTGAATAGCAGAATCAGATATCTGTTGCAACAGATTATAACATATACAATTGAAAATCATTTCTGTTTGAGAATATTTAAAGGAGCATTAGATAAGATTAAATAAATGGCTGAAAGTTCTCGCTTTTATAGTTAACAAATAGATAATGAAAACAGAATATGCTAAGATATTAGTGATTCAATTTACGGCTAGCCTGGGTCGTCATTACTAAGGTTGGTACAATGAAGGATAATATATTCAAATCCACTAAATATTGCAGGCTAACGATGGCATCAAGAGTTGATTATGGTCTGTATGAGTTAATTAATGTCTAATCAATAATTTAGATAACATTTCAGGCCCAAAGAAAAACCTGCAATAGGCAGATTTAGCTCTTGCATAATGCATGTTTAAGTGACAGCTAAAGCTTTCTTGTCTCCTAAGTTAAACCTTATAACTGACTGAAAAAAAAATCAAAGTTTGAAATTTTTATCTTCAATGTCATCATTTGAATTTATCTAATGCAAAACACTTCAAAATAGCAAATAGTATCTATATGCTTATCCAACATTTGTGGAAAAACAAACCAGCAGCTGCCAGGCAGGATACGCCCACATTTTGCAAGAGATGGATAGAGAACAAGCTAAACAATCAAGGTAGCAGACCTTGAGGCGGTGTTTATACAGGATGTGGATATTTGTGTCTCTAGAATTTAGTTGAGATTCGGTAGAATGAGTTCATTAAAGATAGGTTGCCAGGCAACAAAACATATGCCCACAGCAGCTAAATCGTCGTTTGTAGGTAATTCGGGGAATTTAATAGACAATTTCATACAGATGAGATCATATTTTTCTTCGTTTGAGGGTTCACAAGGTTCTAAAAACTAAAACAAGGGCCGTAACTCTGGAAGTAATCTACAGAAATTGTTAAAATTCAACAGGCTTCTTTGTTTTACTAATTTAAATGATGCATATAAATTTCATACAGATCGGATAACTTTTGTCGTTAAGAGCATTCACAAGGTACAACAAAGTGAAACGAGGGCCATAACTCACAGCGTAATTAACGGAAATTGCTGAAATTCAAAAGGATTCTTCGTTGCACTAATTTAAATGATGCATATCAATTTCAAACAGATCGGATGATAACTGTTGTCATTACAGAGTTCACAAGATTCAACAAAGTGAAACAAGGGCCATAACTCTAGATGTAAAAATGTTGTATTGTCGCGTAAAAATGTTGTGATGTCGTGATGTCGGGTTGTCGACTTTATTTATCAATGTTGAAGCGGCCACGAGATCAAGTCAGCCCTCACTATCTCATCCTTCACTAAGAATACATAGCCTTCCAGATATCATGCTACATATACTGAGCTCCATGGAAAACACATCACTTTTTTTTCCCAAATATTTTATTACTAGGTGGTTTTGTATGTATACTATTATGCAATACTATGAACTATTGTTTCACACAATGCTCCCAAACGCAAAAAATATCGGCCTGTGTGCACACAAAAAATTGCACGAGATGCACATGAAAAACCCAATATTCACGTGCAGCATTGTGTGTGAGGCCTTTAAAAGCATGTTTTCAACTTAATGTGCAGTACATGAACTGTGAAACGTCAATCTGTTGTAATTTTTTGTTGGACGTGTGAAGGAATCGAGCTAGAGATGCCGAGACTTACTGAAAATCAACGGAATGAAGCCATGGGAATGTCCAGGGCTGGCATGTCTACACGTGCTATTGCCAGACACTTCAATTGTCATCAGTCCACTATTGTAAGGTTGGTGGAACGTGTTCGAGTTACTGGATCAACATGTGACCGTCAACGTCCTGGTCCACAACGCGTTACAACCCAGGCTGAAGACCGTTACATCCAGGTCACTCATCTGCGTGACAGATTCCGCCCAGCGACTCGAACAGGTGCAGCAGTCGTCGGAAGACAAGAACCAGTAAGTGCCAACACCATAAAACATGTGTGGAGACGTCTTGGGGAATGTCTTGCAGACTGCTGCGTCTTCGAAACGAATCGATGGGGTGGGGGAAGTGTAATGGTGTGGGGAGGCTTCACATTTCATCAGCGGACCGCCCTACACATTTGCAAGGGTCGCGTTAATGCTGTAGCCTACCGTGATGATGTCTTGCAACCAATAGTTGTTCCGATGTTTTGAGCGCACCCACAACTTCAGCACTTCCAACAGGATAATGCACGTCCGCATACCGCCCGTTTTAGTATGGACTACCTGACTGCTAACAACATCAATGTCTTGGACTGGCCTGCCATGTCTCCGGACATGGCACCGATAGAACATGTCTGGGATGAAATTGGACGCTGTCTGTATCGGAGACCACA